GTAAACATTTCTGAACATCCCACCTGTAAGGTTAAAGAACCCCTTCCTCCTAGCTATACACTCAAGGACTGCTGAAGTCTGCTGGGTAATATTATACCAGACTCAGGGCTGCGACAGTTAAAAGTCTTCTATAGATAAGGTTGAGTTTCAACCTCAAACCTAAGTAGGGAGGGTCAAGGCATAAGGAGGGAGGTAGTGGGCTCTCATGAGCACATCAGAGCTGTCTACACTGGCCTTCTATAGAATACGGAGTAAAGTTCTAGACTCAGTCCATATCTTTAAGGCACTCCATGGCTTGGGCACAGCACATTTGAAAGATTGCCTAAAGCTCTAGGATGGGGGCTGTGGCTAACAGCTCTGCTCAGCAGACACAATGCAACTCTCTACCCCCAGGGCAAAGTTCCTCTGTGCAGGAGACAGAACTTCCTTGGGAGGGAGTGCAGATGAAGACTGTGGAACAAATACTGCTTGAAATGAAAGACCATCAAAAACCACAACACCATCTGCTCCAAGAGCAAGTTCAGCCTGGCCTACTCTAACATAAACGCATTAAGAAAAACCCCAACCCCAAATCAAAACACTAACTTGCACACATAGGCGGCCAGTGACCTGGCTGTTGGGAGAGGCTAGCACCTAGCCCCCAGCCCCTCCCCTTGTGCCCAAGGCTCCACCCCCCCTTCCTCCACAGGAGCCCGAGCACCCCCACCCCAGCCAGCAGCACAGCTGTAGTGGCCCCAGCTCCAGTGCACCGAGCAGCATGGTCCCAGCACTGGTCACCTTAAGTCCCTGCGGCAAGCAGGCCAGCCAGCCCCAACCACCCTGGGCCAAGGCAGAGCACAGGGAACTGTAGAAAGGAACCTGGGGGGTGGAGCATGGGCGGAGCCACACCAGGCTGTTTGGGGAGGCACACCCACCACCTGTGCTTGCACATGGGATTCTCCCCCAGGGAGAGGCTTAGAGAGGGAACAAACCACAGGTGACAGATATTAGTCACTTAATGGCCACTGAAAGGCTCTCACATGCTATGGTGATGAGGGTGGCTTAAGAACCTATGTGGAACAGACTAGCAGAGAAGCTAATGTATCAAGGCTTGGGATAGTCAGAATCAGTACTGGACGGAGGGAGCCAGGGTAGTAGCTGTGGGAAGGGTTGAAGGCTTGGGGGTTATTTGTTTTGGGGGTTTTTTCCTCCATCAACTGTTACTATGTCCAAGACACTTAATAGAGAAAGATTGCTTCTTCTTACCTTGCTCCCTCCCCACTGTCATGTGGTTGTCCTGGTTTTTCTTTTTGGAAATCTGGTCAGCCAAGGCTCAGCAGCACTAACTTGCCCAACGGATGTGAAAGCACCCATGTCTGTGAGGATGTTGGCTAAGCACCAATGGTTAAAGCAGATCTAACTAAGGTGAGGGTAAACTCACCAAGTCTGGTGGCAATATGTCATCATGGGTGGGGACATTGCCTCATCTTGTGTGAAGGGACATGTCATGGTGGGAATGGGGTCAAGGGAAATGAACATAACTGTCTGCAAGTAGACCCATACCCTGCCCAATAAAGGGAGAGTGTGTTTGTGTCTCTATGCAGGCACAGAGTATAGAGTTGTGTAGAGAGAGTCAACCCTTGAGTTCGCATGCATCCTCCCCACCCTGTTCCCATCCACACCCACCATTATTGGGAGGGTACACGTGTTTCCCCTGGATTCTGCTAAAGGAAAAAAAGCCTGTAGTAGGTTTCCCCTTTTATCCTGCAGAGAGAGAGTGAGATGAAATGGACTCCACTGCACCCCTTTGCCCCTCTGCCTTCCTAGAAGGGAAGGGAATCCTCTGTGTATAGAACAGCAGAAGTAGATGTAGACAGGAGACTCCCCATCAAGCGCCAGTGCTGCTCCACCTACTGCTAGGAAAGGTTTGAAGCCTCCTCTTGCTATTTCCACTTCTGACTCTCCTGCCTACTGGCTGAGCCTTCCTTCTATCCCTCAGTAAGAGCCAGGAGAAGGAGCTGAGCTTCCCCAAGGTCAGGGGAGGGAATTATCCCTTTAGGCAGAGGAGGAGGCGCTGTCCTCCCACAAGCCCCCCCGAACTTTAGCCCCTGATAAGGTGGCCGGGTGGAAAAGGATCAAATGTTTATGTATCTACCTTCCAAGGTGCTCTGCTAATTATAGGTCTGTTTAGGCTCCCCTCATTCCTGGTGAGTAGAACCTTGGATCAGTGATCCCCTTGAAATCCATAAGGCTGGTTGGGAGAGTAGGGTACTATTAAAGGTGAGGAAGGCTAGCAGAATTAGGTGCTACCTCAGTCAGTGGCGTCTTTTGGGACCACAGCATGTTTAAGAAAGTCTGAGCACTCACACAAATACTCTCCACCAGGAAGTGGAGCAGTTTGTAAGGTCATTGTTTTGCCTTTATCTTCCATGATTTTTTTTCTGCCTGCCAGGATTTTAAAGGAGCCATCTGAGTGAGCCTTCCCCCTTCAGAAATGGGAAACGTAGTACCAGAGCCTGGCTTTCACAATGTACCCAGTTGAATATCACATTTAATCAGCCTGACTCCCTGCTGTAGGGACCAATACTGTATTTGTTAGTCTCTAAGGTGCCACAAGTACTCCTTTTCTTTTTGCAGATACAGACTAACACGGCTGCTACTCTGAAACCTGTCACACTGTATTGTGCGTGAGAGGTGAGAAGGCACCCATGTGAAAGGCATGATGTGGTTTTAGCTCTGGCATACTTAGCACTAAGTTGTTTCACCTCCAGAGCCTCTACTATGGCTCTCCCTTCTCCTTTCTGTGTGCAAGGTGGGGGTCAACTGCCTTCTCAGCGCCATTTTCTCCCCCCCTCCAGTCCTCACCGAAGGCATTTGGATTTTATGGTGTCTGTGCAAGAGGAAATGATGTAAATGAGATGGTCCAAGGTGCCCTGGAGTCAACTACGGTGTCAGGGGGCTGGGAGGAGAGCACCATGGGTGAGAACCAGTGTGTAGTGACAGGGTCTCCGTGTGGATGGCTCTCACCTCCTATAGACCCCCTACAGCAGTGGAACAATAAGGGAAGAGTTCTGCTAAGGGGAGCCATACACAGATTTCCTCCACCAGAGCCTGTTTCTGCAGGTTTGTCCCTGGCTGTGGGGGGATGACCAAGACTATTTTATTTGGGGAAACAGCAAGAGGAAGAAGAGCTCATGAGAATAAGGCCCCCATGTTGCACTGTGAGTAGCCCCACTGACTTCAATAGGACTGCTTAAAGGGCATAAAAGTTAAGCATGTGTGTAAGTCTTTCTAGGACGAGGGCGTAATGTAATACATAAAAGAGTCAGGCCCAGATCCACAAATTTATTTCAGCTTCTAACTTGAAGTAAGCGAAAGTTAGGACTGTAAATAGCTTTGTGGATCTGAGCCTAAGTGATAATCCACCATATCCACAAAACCCCTTCTTACATTTTTTATAAAAGACATTGCTTTGTCCGTCATCAAATGCTACTGAACTGTAGCAACAAAAAACAAAATAAAACATTTACATTTAAAAACAACTTCTCCCATGCTTACAGCAAGTCCAATGATCCAGTCCAACGATCCTGGAGCTCCAGGTGCAAGGAGGAAAAACAGTATTTTCAGTTTAAATTATATTTTAGAGATAAATGTATCTTGTGCTGATTGAAGCAATCTTTGTAAATTATTAAAATTCTAGTAATTTTCCAAAAGAACACACTCCTGAGTTTTATTAGTTGTACACAGATTGTTGATATGTTTTAGCAGAAAAGTCCTAGGTCAAAACTGAGACTTTCTAGCAAATGTAGGGAAATTTACCTTGGAAGTGACATACATCATAATCTTCAATGCCTACTGGTGTAGAAGGAATTTGTCTGACTGGTTGTATGCTTATTTCATTGTTCACATTTTTTGGCGGGTATGCAAGCAGCCAAACCTGGGAAAAACTTTAGAGCTTTCAGTATACTGTGAACAGAAGCTAAATTTTAGATTAGTCACCAGGTTGTATCATTAAAATGACCTGCCTGTAATTACTAATTATTGTGTGGAGAGTTTTAGCCCTCAATTGTGCATAATGCTAGGAAGCAATGCTTGATGTCTGAAGAGAACAGAATGATCTGCTCTGCATAATCTATCCCCAGGTGTTTAAAAAAGCAAGAATTTAGTCCCCAACAGTGCAGCCTCTTCCATGCAGCATTACTAGCTCTTGCAATTTTATCATGAGTCTCATGCTATTTGGTATTTTTGTTGATGGCTGAGCTTCTGAGTCACGTGATCACATAAGAATCTCAGCTTTTATTTTTCAAAGAAAGGAAGTTTTTAGACCCATGGTTGCAGACAAGTAGCTTCAACATGTGATCGTTAAAGGCACAAAAGCCAGAAGGCAAATAATAACAGCCCAGAATTTTTTATGAGGATTTTAAAGCTAATCTTGTGATTTTTGGAAGTCCTCACTCATGATTTTTGGATGCATGGGGCTGCCACTATTGCACATGCTAATTTTAAACAGCTGAGCAGTAGACCCATTGATTTTTGTGGGAGATTAAAGTTGGACCTGTGTGTGTTTCCTGGACTGGGGCCTGATAGCATAACTGAGAAGTCACCACTTAACTCATTAATGCATGGGAACATTAAAGATGCAGTTGTCTTTTTAAAATTTTTTGCAATACCTGTTTACATTTAAAGAAAAAAAACCACAAAAAGATGTCAACATTTTCCTGCAATGAATTTAAGAGTGAAATTATTTTGTAGTCTTATAGTTTTTATACATTGGGGGGGTTCAGTTCCAATTCAACACGTTGCAACATGTTTCGATTTCTTCCACAAAGCAAACCATGACACCCCGCTCTCCAGGTGCATTAGAATCAATCCTGAGATGTCACGTCCCCTGGCCCTTTTACTGACCCGGACGAGAGCTGCCTGTAGCGTGGGAACTACAATCCCCACAATCCATTTGTGCAAGGACCAGAGAAAAGGGGAGGAATGTGGTCCCCCCCAGGGGTTCTGGGAATGGTAGTTCTATTGCTGCTTCCCTTAGTCCTCAGCTGAGGGCAGATTTACAAGCACCTGTCCCTTTGCAGGGAAGCTGAACTACATTCTCCACCACTCCCTTCGAGATTGTCACGATGCAGTTGCTTGATAACAAGCCAAACAGGAATTGATGAGAGCTACATGGGAGAGATTTAAAGGTAAGGTCATGCTAGGCTTTGCTGGGGTTGTAGCTCTCTTTGGTGGGTTTTGTATTGTGTTTTCTGGCTAAGAGCCTGTGACATTTCATTCAGTTTGGGCAATCACCTTATTTTGCTGGGGTGGGAAAATTCCTGCAGACGTAGCAGCTAGGTCACCTGTGGACCAGGGGAGTCACCTGCCTTGTGGCTCTGGTTAGGTGTGTAGCATGGTACCTCATATGCCTAGAGGTTGACAGTCATAAAATGAAAAGGAGTACTTGTGGCACCTTAGAGACTAACCAGTTTATTTGAGCATGAGCTTTCGTGAGCTACAGCCGATGAAGTGAGCTGTAGCTCACGAAAGCTCATGCTCAGATAAATTGGTTAGTCTCTAAGGTGCCACAAGTACTCCTTTTCTTTTTGCGAATACAGACTAACACGGCTGTTACTCTGAAACCAGTCATAAAATAAGAATTTGAGGGGAAAAGTCTACTCCCTATTGTGATGGCAAAGCTTGCTGTGGTGTGTCAGGGATCGATCCCATGAACTCGTGCTGAATTTAAGCTTTTGTGTTTGTTTTTTAAAAAAGCCTTTATTGCCCCAACCATAAGAACTAGAAACATCCAAATGTGAACTTGGAGTAGAGTGATGCAGCAGCGTCTGCCTATGTCTATTGATGGTTCCAGTGCTGCCGCGGTCTCTGATAAGTTTGAGCAGTAGCCAAGATAAATTGTCAGGGCTCTTCGATACTGCTGCAGTTCAGAATCCTGTGGGTGGCAGCGAAACTCCCCAGAAACACGTCAGTTTTATGCAGATGCTGCTTGGGAAGGCTGAGCGGTAGCAGCAGAGGCAGTCAATGGAGAGAGGACAAAGGATGGTGCTGGGTGCTCAGTGACTGAGGCATGAACAGTTAGTGAATGTTCCTGAAAATGGTGGCCTTAGTCCTCTGACTAGTTGGTGTCTAGGAAATTTTTCACGCTTTGATCATAGTTAACAGTTTATGCTCAAGGATCACAAATTGCTTTACACAAGGCATAAGTGCAGCACCACTGTAGTGCAGCCACCTTTGGGGTGAAGGACAGCAATCAATGGGCACACAGAACAATGCAGAACAGTGTGGTTAAAAGGGAAGATTTGGCTAGGGTTAGTGGGGCAAATCCCTACTCCTGTGAAAAATAGTATGGGATCATTAATGTCCTTGCAGAGAAGACAGGCTCTGATTATTAGTAAAGGTTATTAGTTCTTAGTTCTACCAAGGTCAAAATATCTGTGTATTCTTTACTATCTATCATCCTTTTAAACTGGGTGATAAAGCAGCTTCATTCTTAATCTCCAGAGAGGTGCCAAATACTGGCGGGGCTTTGACAATAAATTACAATCCAAGAATTGGAGCCTCTAGATATGTGGCTGGGACTTGTATACTTGACACAGTTACCAAAGATGTCTTGTGAGAAAGCAGAAGGCACAAGGGTTCAGGACTGTCACCACTCATGAACTTTGAATTACTGCAACATGAATAAAAGAACCAACACCAGCCTCTCCCTCTGACCCAGCAAAACTCTGACAGACCTAAAATGAGGGACAAATGGCAGAGGTGTCAATAGAAAATGATGTGAGATTAAATTAATTCCCTGTGTGTAAAGTAATCCATGACCCGAAAAGAAGCCACACCAATGCTTAGAATTTGTGAGGTACTTCTCATGTTCAGAGTCCTTTGTACACATCATAGTCTTGACATTTCTGATGTCTTAAATTATTTTCTGTATTAAACAGCAAAGTAGCATAAGGTTGGCGTGGGAAGTAGGTAAGATTGAGTTTTAAGTGCCTCATATACATTAAAGAAATATTGCCAAGGTAAGTAACACTAATAATAAAATACACGGGTAATGTTTGTCTCCAAAGTCAGTGTTTTGGGTGTTTCACTGCTTGTACATTGTCAAACACTATGTATGCCAATTCCATCCACCCAATCAATGGCAGTTTTAAGGCTAAACCATTTCAATTCCTGAAGCTCTGCTATGCTCAGCAGGCTACACACCAAAATAAGATAGCGAGGCAGCCAGAGCATTCCTTTGATACTTACTTTGCTGAGCCCCTTTACCCTCATTATTGCACCTTTTTAAGGTGCCAGGAAAAAGCTATTCATGCTTGCAAGGCTTTTGCGTGTGTCACAGTGATTTAAAACAAGCTCTTTTCCCGGAAAAACTGGATAGCTTGAACATGAACAAATTTTCATCTGGGAGTACTAAATTTCACTACATGCCCTTCAGACAAACTTGGAGCCTGGTCCTACGGTCCTTACTCAGGTAAAACTGAAGCCAGTGAGAACCTTACTTGGGTAAGGAGAGCAGGATCTAATTCTCAAGCTTTGTCTATACTTTAAAAAAAAAATCACCTGTTGCTGAACTGGAGCAAAACATGGCTTAATTGGGGTGTATAGATCAGGACAAACCATGTTAGCTGTACTTGTGGTTGACTCCTATTATCTACAATGGCTAGGTCTCCTACTGCAGCAGAGAAGGCTTAAATCAGCCGCTACCCAGTCTTCTTTAGGTCCTCTCCCCACCACCTCATTATTAAGCAAATCCTGAACTTTTGAAATGACACAGGTTTTCTGTTACCCAGTGTCTCAAAATACTTGTCTGAAAAGGCATCTGTATGTTTTTGCCAATGCATGTAAAAATCATAAAACATGTGGATAACTTTATTATGTAAGCCGGTATTGGGTTGCTCTTACTACCTAGAGAAATGTCCCACTGTCACAGTTCAATTGATAATATATTAGCTTGCTTGTCTTTCACTTGACAAATGGATTGGAGCCTGTTTGTCATTAACATGCTTTAGCAACTACAGTAATTGGTTAACAAAGCTGTGTTCAGAAGCCTGGGTGGGGGTGGTTAGTAGCTAGAGACCAGGTCTGATATGCAAGAGGATCAATATGTTTGCTGTGACTGGTGAGTTGATTTGATTGTGTATATCTGCTTAAATTTATTTTTTTAATGCAACTTGAATTACATTTTTAAGTGAAGGGCTTGAACTGTATCCAAATAGCTAATTCTTATGATAAAAGAAGAGGATAAAGGATAACTTCTTGCCTTCTGTTGATCATGGAAATACAAGCCCTCTTCCTCAACCCTCCCCACACCCTCCTGTGTGTTTAAAATTAAGCACAAGCACAAACACATACACTAGTAAATTTCAACCACTGTTTATGTCCTGATTGTAATGTAAGAGACAAGACAAAGGGTTACTCGTTTCTCTCTGAACCCTTTCCTTCCCTCATTTGGAATGGTTGGTTTAAAGACTTTGCTCAGTGTAACCCTCACAGGAAAGAGTAATGTATACATCTGTATGTTGGAAGTGTAGAGAGATGTATTATTCATACCTTGTCAATGTATACACTGGAAAACAAGCTGAATTTATAGTTCTTTTCCCTTTCCGCTAGTGCTGCTATAGTTAACTGTCTCAGTATTTCCATTATAAGCCCATGTTTTCTGAGGTGTATAACTGTCTTTAAAACAAAGAGTTCATTAATCTTATATCCTAACAGAGAACATACAGTGTTGCATTTAGAAAACAGTTGTAACTGCATATGAAGGGGAGTAATCTCAGTGTACAAACATGCTCCAATAAAATTAACTAGCCTTTTACATATTAAGGGGACAATGGCATTTTACACTTGAAATGATGCTCCTCTGTCAGAGATCTGAAAGAGCATTACAAAGGTGGGTGGTGGTATTTCCCGCCCCACCCCCCCCGCCCCATTTACAGTTGACAGAGCTAAGGCACAAATAGGTGACTAAATACCTTTGGAAATCTGGCCCAGAGATATTAAATAATTAGCCTTGGATCAATCAGGAAACTGGTGGCAGTTAGGAATAGAGCTCAGCGCAAATTATACTTGCAGTCGCTTGCTGTAGCCATTAGACGCATTGCCACTCCCAAGAACTATTCACCATTAATTCAGCTACATCTTAACTGGGGCAGAAGAGCCTAGTGTTTTGTTAGCAATAATTGATGCGGCAGAGCTGAAAGAGACAGGCTTTATTAAACATACCATGAGACTGGTGTTCCATACTCCAGCTCTGCTCTTTCTCTCTATGTGGCTGCAGCCCGTCTGGTTACACCCCTGAGCCTCAGGTCTCTCACTAATATATGCCCCTTCTGAAACCTGTCTTTCTCTGGTTCCACTCCTCTTTTTATATCTGGGAGCTCCTTTGCCGCTAATGTTTCTTTTCCACTTTTCTTTACCTTTGATTATATTCATATGTAAATAAAAGAACATAGGTAAATCCCTGACTCAGGCTGGCCAGAAGATGGTCTCCAGGAGGGTTCTAAATACAGAAATCTGTGCAAAGGGTCACCACCAATAAACAGTACTCTTTGAAGCAACTAGGGAAGCTGGTAAGGTGGGATCCACCAAAGGATTTAGGTGTTGCAATGCTGAGCATCACAGTGCCTAACTTTCAGGCACCTAGAAAATCACAGGAGTAATGTTGCATTCCAAAAAGCTGAGTGAAAAACCTCGGCTCCCTGTACAATGAATGGGAAGAGATAGCAGTCTACAGATGTGGTTCACAAAAGCCAGCATGTTAAGTGGCTCACTGTCTAAGCTAGCCAGTGGGAGATGCTGACCAGAGGGGTGTGCCCTAAGCCTTTCCCCTCTGTCTGAGATAGGTGCCTAAGTCTGGGCTACAGGAAGGTGCCTATTTCCGCTAGCAATCCATGAATGGGAACCCACTGCCTGGAGTCAAGTGGCTTATGCACCTAAGGAGTGAGTTAAATGCCTGCCTGGCCCCACACAAAACATCAGGAGGAGCAGGTAGTGGTGCATACCTTTAGAACTGTTATCCCAGAGGTTAGAGTACTCACCAGGGATGTAGGAGACCCAGGTTAAATTCCCCACCCTAAGGGGCGGGGGAATTGAACCTGTGTCTCCCACATCCAAGGTGAATGCTCTAACCTCTGGGCTAAAAGTTATAAGGTGGGCAGCAACAGTATTACCACCACCATGTCCTCCT